AGGCGCCCTGAGGTGCGCTAGCCTAACTAGAACTCATTCAATCCCCCCTTCCGTCGCAGGTGCCTCAGCTACCAAAGACTTTCCCGCGCTAGTCGGAGCGACCTCGGCTGCAGACTGCACTTCAAGATGCAGGGTGTGGGTACAACGAACAAACAGACTCAGTACAGCTTTGCATACGGCATAGACCAGAGATTGCCCCGCCACAAGCACCTGTTCAGCAAATCAGGATCACGGCACGTAATGCTGCTCCGAGCAGCGCATTACTGGTCTGCACCTGCGGGCAGCTGAGACATTCAGCTTGCCACCTGTGAAGTTGCTGAATGCCACCCTGGCGGAGGCAGGCCTTGCAAGATTGGCGTCATCAGGACAGGTCATGCACACCAATGCGCACGCCTGCACTGATTGCGGGATACACCAATAGCCAAGCTCCTCGTAAAGCACGCTGGGTGTTGGCTATGTGTGAACTGGAATGCCAGTGGCGCAGTCCAGCGGGTTGTGCCCTCTGCAGAACACGTACGGTTGAATCTCCTTCAAATGCAGCTAAGGAGGCAGGCACTTTGCAGACGTGCACATGCCTCGGGAACCTCAATTTCCGAGTTTGCAGGCTGATTGCTGGCAATTCCACGAGCCTGTCGCGAACTCGCCGGCACATGTCGGCACACCGTTTCTCTTGTTAACTGTCCTTCAAGTACTTCTGGTCAGCGTCAGCGGCTCGATAAGCCCTGATGCTTCTCCCCAGTCTGCAGTCTGCTAGACTGCCGCTACAATTGAATACTACCTGGCACTGCCTGGCACCCTTCTTGAGCAAGTCCCCAGCCAGCGTAACATAGACGGTCTGCCTGCCGCGGAGCACGCGGGCGCGAAGAGCTTGGATACATGTTTTCTGAGAACTGTACCGTGCTCCATCCACTGTCCTGCACAGAGCGGCTGCGTTATTGCTAGCGTGGCAATACTGACGTACTGAAAAAATCCTTGAGCGCCACAAGGCGACACGTCTTCTCACAGCCTTCTTCTCAAGCTGCTGCCTGTGGGAACTACTTGGTGGCTACCTGGTACCAACTTGGGCCTGGGTACAAACAAGACCTGAATCAACTGTTTTTTCAGTCCCTGTAAGCATGCACATCGATCAACATGCTACGTCGAAATGAGGCTCAAATTGGCATGGTGTGGACATCAACAGGCAAGACCCTTCTTTCGTGCGATCCAACGCTTCGCATCCTCACGGATCCATCGCCGAAACGCAACCGGAACGGGGGCGAATAAAGCACCCCGGGCACGTTCGTGTGGTCGGCATCGAGTCACAACAATCCCCCCAGGGGTGGGTGGGCAGGTGGATGGGTGGGTGGGAATCAAAACGTGCGCACGGCGAGCAGTCAGGCTCCAGGCAAAACTACACATGAACAGAGGTGAACAGCATGGTGAGGGTAACTCACTCGTAGCAGAGACAAACGAAGATCGCCCGCAAATTGACAAAACTCACTAATTCAATGTTATCCCAAATCGGAGTTTGCTCACAGAATACTCATCTATGGTTGCGCAAGCCTGAACCCAATTCGTTCGAGCTAGAAGGGCAATGATGTCGATGGATGAGAGGGGTCAGAATCTCGGGGGTCATTCCAGCCGAGCAAGAAGCCCGAGCATGCCAAATGCAGCCCCAAAATTCGGGAGAAAACATGCTGTCAGGAAGCAATCACTTCATGGTGCAGGGAGTTGGCTTGCAAGGCCAAAGGGTGAACAAGACCTTAGAAGTTGATAACCTAACCGCATTTAGCAGGTGAGCTGGCCGCTATGCAGGTACACAACCTGGAGTCCCGATACACGTTGACAAGAATTGTAAATGGGGAACGTGGGTGATGCCGTAAAGTTTGGAACGGACATGGTGTTTGCTGACGCGTGTATGAGACGACCTGGGATGCCGTCACATGATACAGACATGTACAGACACCAGAAGCAAGTTTAGACAAACAAATTCTGACAGGCCATGCGCCAGCGCAACGCTTGAAAGTGATAAGCATGTCATGTTGGCAACACGTGCTTGATGGCACTTGTAAAAATCAACTCGCCCGAGGGTTTTACGAAGTAATGCTTCAGAGCTCGCCTTCGTTTGATGGCGGCAGCTTGATCTGGCCTCAGGAGAACTGATTGCTGTGCTCATGGTAATGGACCCAATGTAATGCTAGGGCGGAGCTAGATAGACGACAGTATGGTACGAGGCTGCCACACAACACAAGCCCTCCACAATTCAGTGAGCAAAGGAGGCCACGCAGCCGACGCAAGAACCCGTCTGCGACCTGGCGTTACCTAGCACGACCTTTGTTCTCGAGCAGCGGAGCTACCCAGGGTTCTGCATTGGCCTTTTTCACATAACCATCCCATTCCAAACCTGGCCCTGGGAAATGGATTCTCAAGCAGAGACCGAGAAGCAAAGAATACACGGAGAATCATCTGATTCTGGAGCTTGGAGCTGCACCGTAGCATGCGAACTCGAGGGCGCTTGTCCATGCTGGCATCACATGCGAGACCTTTGCTTGACGCTTCAAAACAGTTGGCACAAGCTTGCCTCCTAACAGAACAGCAACAAGCCTGAAATCTCTGCCTGCCCACGCTTCCTGACCGTAAGCTCATTTGCTTTGCCACACCTCCTTTACATCTAGAATCCACATCATGCGTGTGGCCACTCGCAGGGGCTCATCCCAACCTCATCACGATTGTTTTGCTGCGCACGCTGCGGCACGCTGCCAGCGAGGCAGCATGGCAGCAAAGGCGCGTCACACCATGGCATGGGAAACTCTGCCCCCATCTGGCATCTGCAGAAGACGCTTCTCAAGCTGAAAGTCGAATCGTCACAGTTCAACCTGAATCCGATTCCTAGGTGCTGGCACAATCCATAGCAATGCCCAGCATTGATACGCAAGTCACACCTAGAGCAGCCTTGAATGGTAGCCCTGACATGTTGCACAATGTTGCACATGCGCTTTTCCAGCCGTGCTCTAAGAACACCAGTGTTGAGGAATGGTGAAGCATCTCTATTTGCAATCCAATTCCTCCCTCATCATGCGGCGCCACTCAATATCAAAGATATTACTTTTTTGTAAAACAGCCGTTCTGCCTTCTGCTGCTGATTGACCACATCAACTTTGCATGAATTTGCAAGTTCCAGAGGAGCACCCTACAGCATGCACGTGGCATCTGTGATTTCTTGGACCTCAGCCGATGCCCCTGCTGAAACATTGTCTGGCAGGCTTCTGCCTTGCAATTCCCTTGGAAATATGCACAAAGAGAGGTAGTGAAAGTGTCACGCACAGCACAAAAAAGCTGCTGGAGAATGCAGGTGTGAGAAGAGACAGGAAGGCCTGAAAAGGAAAACAAGTTCAGCGAATGCGAACAGAGATTACACGCTGGCTTCATCAGCAGCTGTATAATATCTGAACCAATGCACCGTCAGGCAGCATTCTGCGCAGCAAATTCCACAGTCGCTTCGGTCTTTCGTGAGGCGCCTACTCCATCAGAACAGTGGCTTCGCTAGCTGAGGAGAAAGATGCAACGTGGAGAAATGTACATGCCGCCTCAAGATTGAGACTAAATGCGACCAGAATTCGTGAATTCAACAAAAACCACACTCAGCATTTCACACACTATCCCAGTGCTCTCACCATGGCATCATGTCGCGTAGGGGTTCCGGAAAGGTTTCTTCCACTGCTGCCTTACACTGACACGACGCAGCTGGACAAGGCTCTCAACATCACATCGGCGTCAATGGAATGAGAGGCGAACTCCAGCCCTTGCCAAACGGAGCAGCCAGCAAGGCGGGTGCTTCACTCCTGGCACATCTTGTCAGCTTCAAACTTCTGATGTCTCAGCAGCATTTTTCACTCATGGACGATGGTACAGCTTTCGTCGCCTAGTCGACGGCAAAGGTCATCGGCAAAGTGACAGCAATTCTTGCGAAGCAGGTCATAGCTTTCGGCATGATATTCCTGAAAGCAAAAGCTGGGAGTTCTTCATGCCACACATGGTGTAGGGTTCAGCAGACCTCTGCCATATCCGCGAGGATTTGGGCGATTTCTTCTCGGCTGCACATGGACCGGCCAAGGTAGACCTCAGTCTGCTGAAGGTAGAATGGTAGAACAATCTTGAGCTTGGAGGGAATCCAACTAAGCCCCAGTCCGTCTGGCGGTAGTTGTGCTGAGGGTTCTGTTTGGGCTCATGGCTTTTGACTCCGGTAGGCGAATGCTCACTGAGGCTTCCAGATCCAAACGCCCACTCGAGCTTGCCGACTTCAACTCCAGCATGGAAAAGGCCACCTGTCTGTCTAATGTGGGTGTACGCATGTCCGTCAGACATGCAAACATGATTCTGCTGCAGTCATCACAACGTCCACCGCGCCTAGCTTCAAAGGCGCGTCTCTGTTTGCAAGAACGTTGTTTACTCGCTGGATGTTCGGGTCCCGAGAGACGTCGTAGACATGCAGCCGAACTCTATGGCCTCGGCGCCTGCGAAGCTCCGGCAAAAAACATTAAACCCTTCTGGTCTAAGCGCTTTGGCTGCTGATTATATCAAATGCTTTGCCGGTTCCTTTGCTTCTGGGGACATCGGGAATGAACAGCCAGTGCAGACTCTCCTCAGCTGCTTGAACCGCAGGGTACACAACGAGGTGAAGCAGATTGCAGCCTTCGCCATGCTCTTTGCGGACCCGCGGCGTGGTGTATAAATCGGAAATTCAGGCGCCAGGGTAGAGATGTTGAAGCTGGGAGCCTTCAAAAGCAGTGGCAGGCGTGTGCAAACAGCTATTGTTGGCGCCGCCGCATCGAGAATGCAGGCCAACGGCCAAAGCCGAAAACAACAAACTCAAAAAGAAGAACAGCGATGACCATGATAAGAACACCTACCACAACTACCACACAAACAACCGCCAACAACAGCAAACGCAGCATCACGGCCGACGGCTGGCTATCACAACAGCGGCAACATGATCAGCAGCAACACAAGCAACAGCGGCGGCAGCACCTGCGCAGCAGTTGGCAGCCACCACGACAACCATGGCTGCCACCACCCCAGCTTCGCCCCAACCCCCAAAGCCCCCGCCCTGACGCCCCCCAGCACTGCCGCCGCCACCACTGCCCACCACTACCTCAAGCCTCAACACCATCAGCACAAGAACGTAGAGAGGATTGCTCCTTGATCCTTGAGTCGAGTGGCCTGCGACGATCCAATGCCCATAGCCGGACAGTGCTGCAGCGATTCTGCACGTCCACTTTGGTTCTCCCTTTCCCGCTGCAGCTCAAAGTGCGCAGCATCACACGCGGGACCTTCTTGAATGTCCAACACTTCCAGCACATCCGTTAGCACTGCCCTGTTGCCCTGGTCGGCTTCCAGAATGGCATTTGGCAAGTCCGCCCTTCGGTCTTCTAGGGTACCGCTGGAGCTCCTAAGCCCAGCTCGCCGTTTCCTCTTTGCCAACTTTTGCTTCATTTGCTGATGAGCGGATTCCGGGATAGGGAGCATTGCCAGCATGGCCTTGTCAAGACCTATGCCTACGGCCTACGCGTGCAACCTACTCACAACAGATGAGAGAATGTGGCTGCGGAACGCGGAATGCTTGCGTCTAGATCCTCTAGCTAGCAAAGCACAATCCTGCGTCTGGAATCCCTTGCTCGCGGCAGCTGTGTAGTACTGGAAGGAGCACATCTTCGGCACGGCGCTTTGGTCGGGCATCCAGCATGACTTTGACAGCGGCTTCTCATAAGACAGCCACAGGCTCGGGCTTTGTCCGCATCAGACCTGGTCAGAGCTCTGACTCTGCAGCTTGAGAGGTGCGACACGCGTGCTCCCAGCTCTCCCAGCTCTCCCAGCTCTCCCAGCCTGCGGAGCCTCCGTGGCTGGGAAAACAGGCCAAAGCCGTCATTCGTCGTCTTGACATATGTCTTCCTGGTGCAGGATGCTTATCAAGCATGCGAAAAAGCCTGCTCTCAAGGAAGTTGTAGCGAACATGAAAGTGAAGCCGCAAAAATGTAAGGGGCTTCTACAATGTGATCCCTAATGACGCTCTTACAGGCTGTGACAACATGAGGCGACCCACAAGTAGTAGTTAGTCGAAGTCCTCAGAAGAACGTCGATCCTGCACCTAGGGCAGAACCAGTGGCTGCAGGTACAGCGAAGCCTACACCTCCATCTAGCATCATCTAGCTCGGGCTCCACACCCAGTCTGCAATTTCCTGAAGCAAGTCAGAAGACTGCCTCGGCATATCCGCCAAGGCACAGCTGGCCCAAGCGTGGGCACAGAAAAGCCAGGCTTACGCAGCTTGCGCAGCTCGTAGACTTTCCGTGACTTTCCAGCAGAGTTGTTGTCCACATGAGTACTTACTCTTCTTGACGTTCTCCTCATGTGGGCTTCATGCTGCCACTTTCTACAAGGCATGGTTGAGGTGTGAATTTATGATTCTTAAGTAGAAGGTGCAAATAATGTCAGACCGAAAGCCACAGCCAAGTGTCAATGGAAATTCACAAGCTCAGAAAATACACATCACCACTTCTCCACTACCCGATGCTTGACCGGTAGCAGATGGTGGCGCAGGATCCCCTATCATTTACCCCAGGCACGGGATCACTGCGAGGTCCACTTCTGCAGGCCATCTTGACGCTTTCCAGGTTTGGTTTTCCAATTTTGGTACTTCGGCAAGACACACAACTATTGGAAGGCTCTCTCCCCTATACAAGGAAAACAGCTTCAAACAATCCCAAACAGAATCTGGGAAGGCCTGAGGCTTGTGATCTGAGGCAAAAAAGCTTAAGTCCCAAATCCAGAGAGCTTAGGATTTTGGGCTCGACGCAACTGTACAATCTAAATGTACGTCTAGGCTCCAGGATTGGAGCTTGGAGGACCTAGAGTTTCTTCTTCTTGTTTTTGCTCTTATTCTCTTGTGTCCCTCTTCAAGCTGTCAGGCCGGAGCTTTCTCTGAGGCTAAACTAGTTCAGTTTCTTTTGCGAAGCTCCCTCACCTCCTGAGTACTTCATTAGTACAGTACAAGAGGACATGTTAAGTCACGTCAACGCGTGCACACCCACTTCAATTTGGAGGTTTACCGGGTTTACCGTACACTAGATATTGGTGAATAAGCCATTTGTATCACGCTAGGCAGTTCTGATGGTTGAAAACACTCTTCGCCAAGCGTCACGCTCAAAAGAAATGACTTGACGTGACTTTGCACACCCCGAAAGCCAAGGCTGGCACATGAGGGTTGGTACAGATAAACGCAAGGGCTGAGAGGGACCATGAGGAGGAGAGCGCGAGGGACGCAAGACAGGAAGCATCAAGAATGAGGACGGCGAAAAGCGGAGCGGGCGAGCGGTCTGGGCATTTCAAAAAACCTTTGAAAGGTTGGGACGACACCGGTCGCACGATGCCCTGCAGCTGTATCCGCCACGATTCGGGTTTGAATCTCAAATCAGGGCTTCTTGTTTCTTTGCGGCATGCGCCTTCATACACTCATGAAGTCACAAGCTGAGAGGATGGATGACAACGTACAAGAAAGCCATGCATCGGGAGAGCTTTGCAAGCATCCAGAGAGATTTGATCAAAATGTCAGTAGGTTCAGCTCATTCGGTCATGCATTCGCTGTGCCTACGACATGCAAACATAAGTTCACACAGTCGTTTCTTCAATCCCTACGTCAGCGGATAATTGAGAAGGCCAATCACGGTGGATAGCACAACCAAAGAAGGTGATAGCAGAACTGCAGCAGTGGTTGCGGGATATTAAAACTGGATGTCGTCTGGGCAACCAAAAAAAGAATGCGTTCATGGTGTGTTCTTTTGATTTTGTTGCAAGCCACTGCATGACGAAGTTTTGTAGTCATGAGCACCAAGTTGGGTCAAGGCCAGCAACAGGTAGCACAGTAGATGCTGCCTGGCGGTACGAGTAGACCTCGCACTACACTGTTTTTCTTCCAAGGCCCTATGTTTGAAAACATTGACGCGGATGGGGAATGATATGTACAACCACTGATAAAGATGTTCTGATTGGCCTCATCTGCCTAAGCGAACAAGGATGACTTGACTTTGTTGGCTTATGATGGTTTATGAAACGTGTGTTCTTGTGGCTCCTAAATGAGGCACCCATTGTGCAAAATCCTGTTGTGGTTGTGATAACCATTGTCCAGTCGCACTACCCCCTAGCCGCTCTTGCCCATTTTCTGAGCCTCAGACTGACATCAGTCAGACCACAAACCCTCACCTCAGAGGTTCGGTTGAGCTTTCCTCACTGCGATACGCATTGCTTTGAACGAGGATGTCGCCGTGCACGTGCAGAATCGCGTCGGTTTGTCAGTTTGACACACTCATAATTTACGAGTGTTGTTGGAAATGGCTCGCTGACACACAGGCGCACATCCTTCGCGCGTGCCTTTCTTGCCATGCTTTGATTTCCATCTTGTCTCGTCTTCCCCGTTCTCCCACTGCTCAGACAAAATGCCAAGTAAGCACACACCCTAAAGAGACCGCTGAAATGCTTCGGAATAGGATCACTTACTGGGTCTCTGGCAACCTCAGCCAAGCAGAGCATAGCAACAGCAAGACGAAGACCACAATGAACCTCTGTGTAACACAGTGTGTAACACGGTGCACGGCCCCACAGTGTGTAAGCGTGGCAGGTGTGCACGGCGATGCGCTCGCACAGGTTCACAGAGGTCTTTCCGGATCCTGCGAAGTAGTGCAGTAGCAGCAAGTATCAATCGGTACATGTAATTAGTCTAGTTGAGTGTCCGACCCTTGGAACGTTTCCGCTGCTCGTGGCATGTCTGCCTGGCGAGTAAACAGTGACAACAGTGGCGAGAACAGCAGAAGTGACTGCTGCGAAATGTTGAAAGCCTGTTCGGTCTCCGCCCGTCCCTGGGAGATGCTGCGAGGGTGGGCATAGCCAGGAGTTTATTACTTCGATAGATTGCAAGACTCGTCTCTTCACGCTTTGGGGCGCACAAAGGCTGCAATTTCTCGCTTTGCAGCCACGAGGATTGCTCCGCCAATACCTTTCGAATATTGAACATGGATTTAGAAGGTTTATGTCCGCGATGCTTGCCCGGAGCCCACGGCCTCACCAATGATTTCTGCTGTACCGAAATCAATCTCGGAGCCTCGCAAAGCTCAGCGCTCATCATCAGTTGACATGTGGCAACCGAGAAGCAAGTACAGTGCATTCAACATGCCCTGTCATGTTGCATGATAACTTATTACAGCAAAGCTTGTATAATCAGGATACACGTTGACTATTTGCCAGCACGTACAATGATTCTTGCTGCGAGCTGCCTCTGGAAATCTTTACATCCTTCTGAGGGTTGAGTACCTGAACGAAGGCACAATTGACCACCGTGCAGTGGTTCGCACACCTGGACACTGATGTGCCTTGGCCCTGTCCCCAGGCACTTCTTGCAGACCTCGATGACAAAACGAAAAACTGAACTCAACATTCGGCGGTTCCAGCACGAAGTTCAAGTTTCCCTCCCTTCTGCTGCGTTCTTTCATGCCCAATTCTCTCCTTGCCTCTCTGCCTGGAAATTTTGGCTGGTTTTGGTAAAGCATCTGTACTTGGCAAGTGCTTTTGGTGGTAATGGAAACGGCTTTGCGTCAAGGTGCTTCTCAGATGCGTTACGCAAAAAGGCTTTGAGGCGAAAGGGTTTGTAACCCTACCCGCGGCATTCCCAAACAAGTTTAGGTCGCGACCTTCCTTCTGCATGGACCGGAGGGAACGATCTATCTGCACAAGCACATCCCGCTACCAGCCATCACTAGGAAAAGTCGCACCTCATGCAATAACAGACCTTTCTGGCCTTTGGGCCGGCGAAGGCACAGCGCGCGTGCCCTACACGAAGTCAAGTCATTGCGCCGCCTGCTGAACAGAATACCTTGCTGAGAAGCTTTGCATCAGGAAACGGGCATGTCCGCCATCGGACTGGTCATAAACGCTTGCAAAGTGTCAACTGTTTGCGCTGTCTGACTGGGTTTGAGCTGGCTGCAGAAGGCACTCACATGGCGCTCCTCACGACTGTACGCACGTCGCTCGACCCTGAATTCTCGCTTATCTACGCAAAACGCGTTAGTATCTCTCGATGCAGCTCAAACCTCCACCATGCCGCGACTGAAAGATGAACCCGCTTTGCCAAAGCTGTTCCTGAACCGGTTGCCGCAGACTTTAAGGGTGTGGGCAGAGGGTTTTCCTATTAAGTAGAGGTTTGCGTAACGTGCTTGTAACCACGGCCTCCCAGAGACTTCTGAGGTCAAGATTATCTACTAGTCCATTTGCTCAGATCTCGGCCCCGAACACACGGGAACATCGCAACTTTTTGCATCAGGATCGGCTGAGCCAATTGTGGGAATCCTTTAGCCTGAGCGACCGACACGCAGAGCAACAGTTATGTAATGCAACATGTGCGAACCAAAAAGTGCCAAAAGGGACCCATCGCTTTGCTCAAATTCTCGCTTGCTCCACCTACATCACCAAGAGCAGCTCTCATTGGCTGAGG